TCTTCCGAACTTTCGTCACTGCTTTGCTCATTTTTGACCTTGAACAAAGTATTGTAATTGCAACCACTAAAGTGACAGCGCTAAGATAGAAAAAAAGCTCACCATTTTCCGTTTCTTCGCCCTCTCCTTTTTACGTTGTCGCTTCGCCCTTTTCTTTGCAGTGCGCTCGGCTTCTATTCGTTCTATTTCCTCTTTGTGCTTTCTCAAAATTAAATGATTTTCTCAAGGGACTACTGAAAGTGAGCTTGCAACATTCTTCCATGGGATAGGCTTCCTACCTGTACTGTTCATCCAGCTCTTCCGTTTCAGCTACTTTAGCAATGTAATCCAGGCGATTCTGCTCCTTCTTACGATTGATCCTACAAAACACAGGAAGGGGATCTTTAGCAAAACAGAACAGAACTATGGCATCAATACCCAAATTAGGGCTCACTCCGTTTCAAAAACACCCAACGTAAATACTTATTACACCCAAACTCTAGTCCCGACAAATATTCGGCGCATGTTGTAATCTAGAAAGCTCATTTAGCACGAAAACTTCGGGTTGAAGGAAGTGTACAGGAGCTGCAAATTTCATTAGAACTACACCCTTTGGGACCATTTAGTGTGAGTTCAGCTTAAACGAAAGTTACAGTCAAATTCATATTTCACAGCTTTCCTTCCTTGATCTACAACGTATAAACCAGGTGCACTGAAAACAAGAGTAGAGTACCTAAAACAGTAACATACCTGTAGATGTGGTACTCAGCACTTCCAGCTGCTGCCGATGAACCAACAACATTTCTCACGAACTCTGGAGGTGGACGTGGAGGCTTAATCTCGGCACGGCGTGCAGGTATCGGTGCAGGCTTGTTCTAGAAGAAAATGCGAATATATGAAATACGAATCAGCTTATTTTATTCTTCAGTCCTGAATTATTAGCGTTTTCTGTCAAAAATTTACACTGTTTTACTACGGCAATTATTTATTCATACAGTATACTCACGATGTTTTGCTGTAACCTCTCAAGGCGCATCCGCAACAAGTCTGTTGCAGTGTGAGCCCTTCGTTCCTCTTCAACTATCGGATCGTCTCTGGGCATTCTGAAAATGCAAGTATCATGAACAAAGTGGGTTTATGAAACTATGCTTGTGAGAGCCAGAGCAGATGTAGCGAGTGCTAAAAAAGGAATCCCAAATCGTACACCAAACAAATATTCGATAGTTGAAAAGGAGAACATCAATAAATGACGATAAAATCCCTTTCGACAAACCAAAACTATTAAACTGCATATCAATACGGAAGTCTGCAACCCATTTCGAAATTCTGCAATCACACACAATCATTTTTTCTGTCGGCAATTTTTGAATACTTCACAGTTGCGTTTGTAATTAAGTTTTTTTCCACTTACTAAGCATGACTAGGCTTAAGGGTTGATCTTTGGCTGAGTTGATCAGGATTCTATGCATTTGTTTCCCTATTAGAACCCAAGGCAAGTTGACCTTCACAGTTAGGAACAATATCGAAATTTGCGACTTTCAACATTAAACTTTAATTGCCATTATGTAAAATTATGGAGTTTGCTATTGAAAAGTTCTGCGAGGTTTGTCGAGGAAGTGCTATGTATGATTCTTGAAAAAGAGCGAGTGTGTTTAAAAAGTTCTGCACAACTGGTCTGGGTAATGTCAGTACATTCCAGATATGAAAAAGAAGAAAGCAGCACCAAAAAGAAAGCGGAAACAAGACAGCGACGAAAATTCGTCAGATGAAGATCCACCTAATGCCTCTGAACCGACCTCCAGTAACGATGAGGACGGTGGAAAAGAATCATATGACGATAGGTGGGTTTTTAAATCCTCTTTTCTTTTCAGATTTTACCTCCACAACTGTTACATCTGTTAAGTTTCGACTTCTTTTGTTCTGAGACAGCAGTATGGTATGTTTAAGGAGCGATTTTGGAGAGGATGAAGTCATGGATATTGAAGAGGCAGCCAGCAGTTCGAGGACTGAGGACTATCAGAAAGAGTTTAAGATACTTGGGCAAACAGAATTCGCGCCGCTGGAAAAAATCAAGTCTGTTTGTATGTCAGGAAATATTTCAAATCTGATTATTTATTTGTCTTCAGTGTAACAACTTCGTGGGTGTCAAGTGCAACCTTGTTTCCTGCAGAATTGAACGAGAATAATCTATCTGATTTGTCTTCCGTATATGGATTACCTGACGGAATATTCAAATTGGTTAAAAAACGAATTAAATCTTGGTTTCCTGTGCAGGTAGGTTGTTAATAATGTTTTTTTCGTTGTTTTCTTATCATCGTCGCCAAGAGTTCCGGTGGTTTCCAGAAATCAGTTTTGCCCAGTCTACTTCACGATATAACACATGTACCTCCTATACGACCTCGTGATATAGCCATATGCGCTCCAACAGGTAAAATCACTTGGTCTATAATCATCGTTCATGAGCTAAATGGAGCTTTTTTTCGTTTATATCTTTGTTATTTCACAGGATCTGGCAAAACATTGTGCTACGTGCTTCCAATCTTAGCCCAAATAGGATCCCGCCCCTCTGGTCGTCTACGTGCGCTTGTTATAGCTCCGGTACAGACACTCGTTAAACAAATAGAGGAGGTTTGTGAGAGTTATAATACCTGTTCTTCGAGTGTTGTCCACAGTATCAATTTCGAGTGATCATTCACTCACCTAGATATTTTTGGCACAGTTTACGGGTTTGAACTTCCTTTTTTGTGCTAAACGCTTTATTTTTCTTTGTATTTCAAGTGCACCTAATTCTGTCGTATGCATACTTCGAGTTTAAAAGCAATCGAAAACATCGCACTTCGTGTCTCAAAGTTTTTTTTTTCGTTTGACTTCTTGTCTATTGAATGAATGCCCTCTTGGTGGCATCTGCTGAATTACCATTGAAATTTGTTTGTATTGCAGGAGTTCCTCTCCTTCAATGCATATGGTGCCAAGATAGCGGCGTTAAGTGGTGCCACAGATTTCTCGAAGGAGCAAAAGCAACTGGCCCCTGATGGGACGTGCCTGTCAGATGTCATAATTTCAACCCCAACACGACTTATGGATCATTTGACTGATCGATCTAGTGGAATCGCACTCACATCGTTGAGGTTAGCATATTCATCCTGAGAAAATTCGGCCAATCT